TGACATCTTCCCTCAGATTGCTATTGGCGGCAGGAGACACCGCCTAGATAATATTTCTTTAGAGAATTAACAGCACGTAAGCCAACAATGACGATCTTTATTCTGAAAACACTACGATTACTCGTTTCGTCAGGACTTCTCATTGGACATCTTTTTTCGTCAAGCCTGGAGAGATGAGCGTCTCGATCATGGCCTCAACAAAACCATGTTTCTTAGTAATTTTGTGTTGGACCGCATCTGGATGCCAGATACTTACTTTGTGAACGCAAAACACGGATCGTTCCACAAAGTGACGAAAGAAAATGTAATGATTATGATCATGCCTGGAGGAATTGTACACTACAATGCCAGGTAAACTTTGGGGAATACTTTCTTTTCGGCTTGCTTTCTTTTTGAACAAACGATTTATGCACCGTCCATCGACCTCCAGACTCAAAAGCAACCTCTCCTGGTTTGCAGCTTGAGATTTTCGTGCTTGTAGAGGTTAGTTGCATACAAAGGTATTGGGTTAACACAATACCATAATGATTACCTTCAAAAGCTTGCTTACGTACCATTCACTACAGGTAAAGAGTTTATCCTCTCACGTAAGCTGCAGTTAAAGAAATCTCTAAAAAAAAGCCTACAGGCTTCGACCAGATTTGAACTCGTGCTTGCCAGTTAATAGTTGGGCGCTGCCATGAATGCTCACTCACGAGCATCATTTATTTTATTTGTATTTCATGCGCAGGTCAAAATACGATTTATTTCTTAAAATTGTGTACCATTTACTAAATTAGAATTTGGAAGTGTGCATAATCAATTCTTTTCGCCTCACCAGAATCACAATTAAAGCAGCCTGCCCTATGGATCTAAGAAAGTTTCCGATGGACACTCAACACTGTCCTTTGACAATTGAGAGTTGTGAGTACTTCTAGCAGTTCTAAAAAAAAAAATGATAATTTAGACACCCCGCCAGAGATTTCCCATGCGTTCGGACTTTTATAGGTGACACTTCTCTGAATTAGTGTTATGACAATGACTTTCAAAGAAACAAACCGCAAACCTACGTCGGCATATCATGGATACCAAAGTTTGTGTTTCGTTTTGAAGTAAACTGAGACGAGTTCAAAACAAGCTATTTGATGTGATAACGTTGAGATTGACGATGACAAGAAAAGCAACAGAGATTATCATGACGAGGATAACTAGACCATAAGGATGACGTCTGTGGTTACGATGACGATGCTGACGTTAAAGATGACTCTAATGCAGACCCCGATGATTGGTAGGACGTAAACGATAACGGCTGAAAAAAATTCTTCATTTGACTCTGATAATGACTTCCGCTCAGGTCATCGATACGTCAGTCACTTCTACCGAGAATAGTCCTTCTCGAGACTTCTCTCACCTGAACGATCAGACTACACGATAAAATGATGATGATGATAGCCATTTCTTACTGATTCTACTACCGACCTTCTTTATGGTTTAAACTGTCATTTTCCATGTGATAATTTTTCTCAACAGACGGTTACAGTGCTGACCACATCAGATTTAGATGGGAACAGGACCTCACTGATGGGATGTCATTTGTTCCCGCCAAATTGAAAATGTTGCCCCAATACAATTTAGTCGAGCTGAGCTTGACAAAGGATTTTAACAAATACGTTGTTGGTGAGTAAACATAAACAGAATTCTGATGAGAGACATGCTAGTTATAGATGAACGAAATTACAAGTTTCTTTACTAAACAATTTAGTCGAGCTGAGCTTGAAAAAGAACAAATACTTTGTTGGTTAGTGTGTGAACAAAATTCTGATAACAGGCACGCTGATGATGAATGCTCGAAAATATTACTTTATAAACAAAGCTGTTTTCGGAATTCAAACTCTTCATCGATGAAAATTGTTAGCACTTACATGTAGACTGTTCAAATATTTTCAGCTATGTCAATTGTTTCTTATTTTAATTTATTATCAAATGAGACTAAAATTAACAAACTGGAAAGTCTTGAAAGTACTTCTTGTTGCAATTCCCAAAAAATTGTGTGGCGCAAATTAATATTAACCGTGAATTCAAGGCAATCTGCGAAGAGCGAGGCAAATTAGAATTCATTGTGGGAGAATGGTGGCGTTGCCCAAAAGAAAAATCGTAGCACATTTCAGTGACATAAATTTATAAGTTACAATCATTTAATTACCACTGATATTTTATGTACGATGAGTAAACTAAATGGTAAGACTAATTGACTTCCTCCATATATCTTACGCTAGGAAACTGGTCCTTCATAAAGGCGATATTTACATTTCAACGAATGTCCAGTTATTTCTTCGTCCACGTGTATGCACCATGTGCATTGATCGTTATCATTTCTTGGATCTCTTTTGTGCTGCCACGCACTTCTCCTCCTGCGCGTGTCACCCTGGGAGTTACTGCTGTCCTTACTGAAGTTACCATCCTAAATATGCTCAACAACTCTATGCCAAAGGTAACTTGCGTTGAAAATTGTTTTTGATATTTAGTTTTATAGAAGTAGAGTTCAACCAATGTCTAGTGTGCTAGCCAGTTTAACTGACTGGCGAACTGGCATACTGTCAGACTGATTTAATAGTTGAATGAGTGGTTGGGTCACCGCCTAACTCACTAACAGACTGACCGTGCTGACTAACTCACTAATGGACTGACTGCACAACTTAGAGTTTAACTGACTGACTGACTGTTTGACTGCTAACTAACTGAAGAGCTGAATGAAAAGTTGACTGATGACTTGAAAATTATTTACTGATTGAATGAAAGGTTTTGCCCAACTTTATTCGCTACACACTATACATGACCAGCCTGATAGTCATTCACTCGCACAAATATGAAAATAGCACAAAATACGAGAAAGAGAGAATAGAGAACAAAGGAAAGTTAGAATTAAGAAATGTCTGTTTTAATCCTATGCAGGTAAACTATACAAAAACCATCGACAAGTACCTCATCGGGTGTTTTCTGTTCGTGTTTGCCTCATTGGGAGAGTATTCAATTGTGTTATTTTTGGCATCCAGAATGAAAAAATATCAGAAAATTCAAGAGTTAGAAAAGAGTAACCACAAACCCAATAACAAAGACGCCTCTGATGATAACAAGGAATGGAGAAACGGAGACGGGGTTATAAACCGAGTAAGTGGAATGGTAATAAAGGGCAACTGTTTTTCATTAACAGGGAAATCGGAATTTTTATCGCAAAATAATCCAACTTCCTGGATAGATGGAATGGGAAGGATATGTAGAGGTGTAGGATAAATGTAAAACGTTGATGTGGTTTTCAGTTTTAAGGAGAAAAATTAAGTGCACATGTGAACTTCGTTTGTGGTGCGGTTAGCTTGCCAACGAAATACTTGTGGCTCTGTTGATAGAGTATCTTGCTTGACATATGAATGTATTGAGTTGATACGAGTCCGTCCCTTAACTTCTCAGTCGAGCAGGAGGTGGTGAAGAGGGCGATAGTTAGGGTTGATGTTGGGGGGAAGATTACAAGACGAACTTTCAATACAGTCGAGATGCATTAGCACAATACTCGCTGCTCAGATTTGTATCCGAACTTACAATGCGAAGTGAAGTACTTCGCGACCATTCTCCTTCCTTTCCACAACAAGAATTTTTATGTTTACCGCGGTGAACGGATAACTCTGAACTGATGTTCAGGATTTTTCACGATGCATGCTTGCTTCAAAAAGGAACTTATGATTTTTGAAAGGGGATTGGGCACTTCATTTTTGGTTCCAAGAAGTTACTTTAGGGAATGAACCCATAAAGCTAGGAAAAAATACGAAAATTTTCATCCATGAATTCTCATCGCTGCCGTTTTAATGCACAGAGAGGCAATCCAGACAAGATATGCAGCACACAGTTAGAAATGATGGAATTCGCAAAAATGGAGCAAGAACTGATGATAAATGATCATCATGAGGTTAAAGCTGCGCGAAGCAAATGGCTGAGCCTCACGAATTGGAAGAACCGTTTGTACACAGAGCAAGCTGTTTTAGCTGTCGATGAACTGTCTTTGATAGTGTTTCCCATCAGCTTTGGCATATTTAACACCGTTTATTGGATGGCTGTAGCACGCGATATGTAACTGCAGGTCAGTTTAAAGTAAACATTAATTATGAGCGCAGCTCACACGCAGGAGTTCCTTTTCGGCAAAGGTTTAACGAGCCGTTTGTCCAAAAGTTTTTTTTCCATACGTTTCTTAGGTTTTAACGCACGCGATTACAATTTATGCCAAGTTCGGCACATGATGAATTCGGCGTCTCAATCAAAGCCTTTACAAAGTTACAATTTCAGATCAAGCGGGGCGAGAAGAACGGTTAGGCTGTTCCAAATTGAAAAAGCATTTGTTAGTGATTCAAACGCGGAACTAAGCATGTACTTACATGAGGAAAATGCTCTAGAAATCATCTTTAGGTAATGTTTATTTCCACTGTGACGCTAGTTGTAAAATATATACTACTTCTTCCGTTGTGGGATTCCAACGAGTAACATAACCGTTCGAAGATTGTATCACTGTTTCATCATGATTACAAACGCCGTCATTTTGAAAACGACTCAATAACCTGGCCGTATACAAAAAACGAAAACAGCCAGTGCTCTGGACATCACAAACCAAAGACAAACGAATACGCCAATAAAATAATCATTTTATACAGGAATGTATCATTGGAAAGCTCCTGATAATTCCAGAAAGATCGCAAAACATAGCAAAAAGACGAGTAAAATCACGCACCTCTAAGGTCAGCGGCCAGGTTGCTAAGTAAAACTCAAAATGGCGACGTTCGTTGTCGAAATGTTTATAGCATTCAGTTTGAAGACAATTTTTGAAACGTTAGGTTACGGTTTGGAATCTTAAATAGCAGTCTGTGCCAGACTAACGATTTAAGTCTGGCTTCGAAAACAGTCTTAAAAGATATAAAGCGACAACATAATCATGCATGGACTAAAGTGCTACGTGCACAATTAAGTTTCTAACCGAGATATGAACCCTAAGATTTATCAAATACTTTGTTGGGAGTTGGTCTGGAGCAAACAGTACATGAATTAGAGTGACCAAAGTTTCTGGAGAGTTAAATTTATCAGTGTCTGTATCAGAGAGACTTTTTCATCATTTGAAAGGAGAGTGCCATAGAGTGAGTCTTGCTGAGACCTTCCTCGATAAAGAATTGACTTTCAATTACACTTTAGGTGATTCCTCAGTATTGCATTGCGTATCCTTCACTGTGCATAAAATCACGTAATCAGGCGAATAAGCGCTCGCGCATTCCGAGAACACGGTATTGTCTTTCAAATTATGTATGAAATTGTTCCTTACGCTCCAGACTTTCTACCTATCAAGTTTTTTCAAGTATTACTCTAAAAACTCTTGCTTCCATCTACTGCACAATGTACCGTTAACCGATGACATGACGCGCATGATTAGTGCCATTACATGCATAAACGGGGTAAGTTTGGCCCATCATATCTCTTAAACAAACACAGTGACCTATCTTTTTATCAAATTTTTCGAAACATACATTTGTAGGGAACAATTATAGATGGTAAAAGGAAAGTTGAACGAAATTGTTCGACAACTTTTTTTTCTGAGGGAACCATTTAACTGTAAATTATATAATATAAGGTATAGTATCAAATTGTAAACACAATTTATTTTGCATGGAAATGATATTTGTCCAAGATAAAGAGAATAATAAATGCTTTGGTTGGAAGCCTTCATTGTATTATGACGTTAAAGAAACAAGAAAAATACAAACACGGCCATGTGTATTGACTTGTTTATCATTTTTCTTCGTCGCTTCTTCCATTGCTACTCGTGACATGCGCATAAAGCGTAGCAAATGTCAAGTATCCCGTATGTCCCGTCATCTCCTTCAGCGGTCTGCCTGTCAGAATGTTCGCTTTGTTGGCTTTCTGTGACATAACTGCTCGAACATTCCGCACAAGTCCCGAAGCAGGGTCAGTGTCCGTGAAGTGTGGCGCAGATTTTTCCGCCGCTTTTCCGTGCGATATTTCGCTTTTATGTTCAACGTTATCCGTGGGAGTCTTCACTTCACCGGGAGTGTTTTCAACCAGTGAAGATTCCATCAATTTCATATTTACGTGGTCGTCTTGCAACGCTGAAGAAGGCTATCCAAATGGGAAGAGAAAAAAGAACAGAAGGCATCAGTAGGAATGAGAGATCTAAACGGGAATACATTTTCACGAAGATTTGGTTTCATCAGCCGAGTTAAGTATGTAAATTGGTTACTGTAAAGAGTTTCTAAAGCTAACGTTTCGAATTTCAGCCCTTCGTCCGAGCGAACGACGAAGGGCTGACGCTCGAAAAGTTGGCTTTAGAAAAGGTCTTCAATGGCAAAGTTATATTCAACTCGGTTGATAAAACCAAATGATTTTATAATGCTTCCCAGTGACGCAACATCACGGTTTCTTGAGAACTCACCCTTTGTTCATTTATAGGAGTATGTTAGAGAACTTTTGATATTGAAGATCCCTTAAGAAAACACAAGTAAACAATTGAAACAAAAATATACAGGAAACAACAAAGTATTGGGTACCGTGTCACATGATTCACTTTCTTCTTCAAGTTTTCTCTTCCGCGATGAGAAATCACTCGGCGTTGGATCTGGTGGTTGTGAATTCTGAAAAGTTCAAAATTTTTTTTTAAACTTTATAATTAATAATCTCAAATAAGGACTTTCCGTTGGAATTCTTACTTTAAAATAATAATAATAATAATAAAAACAAACACTCACTTCGGGACCAAAGAAAGGAACTTGTAACGGGACAGTTCTTACTTCGAACGTTCTGGAAAGACACTCCATCACCTCTATGTCTTCAGCATTGTTAAACATGGAAAAAACAGTACTAAATTACAAATTCATAACCATGCAAAGTTTATAAAATTCTCTGTTTCCTACATAACAGCCAAAACAACAACACCCACCCCTTTGTCTGCGTTGAGTTTGGAATATAGACGAGAGAGACAAGGTACTAGTGACTTTAACATTTAGTAAACGGAGGTCTTTCATTCATCAAGATAGAGAATACGTTTTAAGGAGAGATGTAATAGAGAAAAAAAAAGTCACTTTTTTTGGATGAAGAAATAATTAGGAGAGAAACATGACTTTTTTGTTGAAAACTTTATGTTTAGTGTTCACCTCTAAATCCACATGCCCTTAAAGATTCACAGGTTCTTTGTACTTGTTCAATGCAAGGAGAAAAAGAGCAAATCTTTCCACCCTCTGCCTGGTCAAAGACACAAAACACAATGAATGTTATCAGTCGTTGTTAGTGGGCAAGTTGGCAGTCTGGCAGTGCAAAATGGATACTTTAACCCTTTACTCCCGGGAGTGATCAAGACAGAATTTCTCCTTACAATATCAATACATTATCAAGCAGACAAGTGATGAGAATAGAGAAAAAATATCAACTACAGTAGGGGATTGGCAGTTGATCCAATAACAAATTCTCTCAACTAACAACATAAGAATTGTATGGTCGACAGTAATGAGAATTACTAATGAGATCATGGGAGAGAAAGGGTTAATATTTAAACTCCCTTGACTGTTTCCTATTTTCCATTCAAAATTATAGGTCAACTTTATCCAGTGAAATGTTTCCTAGCATGGAGACAGTGTGACTGAGTGGTTAAAGGGGGTAAGTTTCTAAAGAAACTGTGGTGCTGTGTCAGTGGGGGAGTGTAACAGGGTAATTTAGTATTATCAACTGAGTTGATAACGTAAATTGGCCACCATAAAGAGTTTCAAAGCTGACAATTTGAGCATAAGCCCTTCATTAGAGCATTGCATTTGTAATCTGGTGGTTCCCAGGTCCAACCCTTCCACACTGCTACTCACTGGATTTGTGTTTGGTTAACGCAAATTCAACTTCTTGGCTGCACTTTGCATAATTAGCCAACTGGCCTGCCTCCAGCCAGTTGAGGTTTTTTAAAAAAACATGTTTATTCACAATGTTTCAGTTTTTTTATGTTGGCCCTGAAAAGCCCCATGGAGGGAGAGGTGGGGGGTGGTCAATTAAGATTATATGTACATACATTTACATACATAAATACACATCTGTACATCCCACATGTCATTTGTCCATTATCATTGTTGATAATTGGAGAGTTACTCACTTTGAGGGTTTCTTTGGAGTGTTTTATTGCCTCCCATGGAGCAGGTAAATCAAGAAAGACTGAAAGAAATGGGACCTCAGTTTACTAATCTTACTGACTGACAAAAACAATCCTTCAATATAAACACTAAATTAATGAGAGGATTCTTTTCATATCCTTTGATAACATAATTCCAAGGTTGACATTTTCAATGTCAGTTATTTCTCTCTCCAGAGCAACTCAAGTCACCATTCACAAATTCTCCTCATACCAGTTTAGTAAAAACAAATCAAAAGGTTGCCTTTACTTTTCCTCCAACACATTTGATTAAAACTCAACATTATCCCTCTTACTTGTTAATTTTTATCAGAGACTTTAACAAAAATCAGATCAATCAAAGCAGTAAATGTCAGTCTCATGCAATAAATCAAAAGTAAATATCAATAAATAATTTAAACAGAGAAATTTCAAAATCATTAAATATTGTAATTCCTCCTCCATGATGCCCTTTTACACTGACCTGCATCTGCAACTTGATGAAGTTCAAATCCTTCCTTGCAAATATCACGACATCTTACAGTTACCAGATGACCAATTTTGTGTTCCTCAAATTCTTTCCTGTTGAGAGCCAAAAGTGGATGAAATATGATAAGTAAATTGTTTATGCCTCTGAGAATATTGGAGTTTAACATTCAAGAAAACAACTCAACCAGATCACAGTTATATCAACCTTAGAGTGTTGTAGACTGACCTGGCTGTTTCAGCTCTTTCTGAATGGAATTCAAATGTGTGGAGATGACCAGATGGAGCAATTGTCCTTATTAAACAATGAGACATTGAACCACTTCCAGTTCCTGGTGATTTAAAGGAAATAAACCGAGCATTTATAATCCAACTTTATTAATCTTTTTAAATGAGATTTTGATGAGTGCAAGAGCGATAAGTTGTTTCTAAATGATGCAGATTGTATTTTAAAAAAGATTTCTTTGTTTAGACCTGTTGTTGTTCTGTTTATAGTTTTATCAATCATGTCAATTTTTTTGATAGAAGGTTGTGGACTCTTTTATTGCCATACAATTACTTTGATGTCAGGTCAGAGAATTTGGTATTGGATCAACTAAGAATCCTCTCATTGACAATTCTGTCTTAATTCTCATCACTTGTCTGCTTGACATTGAATTGATACTGCAAGGAGAAATTTTGTTTTGGTCACACATGGGAGTTAACCTTTTAACCCCAAAGAGTGACTAGCATCTAATGTCTCCTTACAATATCACCCCTGAATCATGCAGTAAGGTCATGAGAATAAAGAAAATTATCAGAGGCAAAAGAAGCTGTTGATTGTTACACAAATTCTCCTTGTCAGCACCTTAAGGAATGTATGGGGAACAGTATGGAGAATATGCATGCTGATGTTAGGGTGTAAAGGGTTAAAGGATTAGGTATGATGCCTACCAGACTCAACAACAACAGATCCAGGTTTAAGAGCCAACCGTAGAATGATCATACTGATGTCTGTAGAATAAAGAATCTGTGTTCTGTGAGGAAGGTTTATTGTCCATAGTTCAGGCGTAGGATGAAGAAGGTAGACCCAACCCTTTTTGTTCAGTGAAAACATCTGAAATTTATTATCAATATAAAATACATTATTAATCAGCTGAGAAATATATCTGTTTTTTTAATATTACTTTAACTTCAAATTCCATTATGTAATGGATAACTGCTGATACCCATTCCCAGTTCTTGTAGCACTGAGTCACTAGGATCTCACAGACTGAACAGACCAATATGGCTCCAGGGGCACTTTTATTAAAAATCATTATAAAAATAATCCTTATAGCTGTGCAGGACTTGACACAGTGATTAGGGCCATGAAAAGCTACAATGAGTCCTAAGCAAAGACCCACAAGATGCCTACTGACTGAATACACTCAGGCAGAATGGAGATATCTCTGGCTCTTAGTCATTAAGTATGGAACATGTTGCCCTTGGTCTCAACACATCATGACTTCAAGCCAAAATCTAGTCACACAAACTTTCCTACACAGTCTATAAATACAAAGCCTTGGTTCTCACAGTATCTTCCTTCTATACAAAGTGCAAGTCCATTGCAGGAAACTCCCCCACCTCCCCACCACCCCCAACATATTTTTCAGGTTTCACTCTGAGCTCACTAATAACATTTTATACCCCTGCAGATGAAGGGAGGCACTTTGGCAGTAGCATCCTACCTATGAATTGTAACACGCTTAAAGCTGAGCTAATCTTGTCTTCCACATGGCTCTTCTATAAAATCCAAGGCCAGCTTAATAGTTCATAAGGTGACAATTTAGTTTACCTTTGTTCCAAACTTCCTTCCAACCATGTCTGAGTGTGGAAGAGCACCATATTTTGTCTGATGTACCTTTCCTGGTGTAACTGTCAGAGTTTGCATAGAGTTATGCCCCTAGGGTACATTGATAACAAAACATAAACAGCAAATCAAAAAGGATGTATAATGGTACCAAGGGTAAATAAGAATATTTAACACTTCTGGACCATACCATATGCATAACGTACTTCAATAAGCATCGTGAAATAAGCCGGTGCTGAAGGAATTCTCCAGCGATCGTTGGTAACCTAATCAGCTAATTAGATTAGTCATTCCTTATCTCAAGTTATGAAGTCCACGTCGTAGATTTTCGGCGAAATAACATCAACTGGATGCAACCCAACTGCAGTGTTACAAACCTCATGTGCAATCTGCTGAATCAGGTCTCATAGGAAGCTGTACTCGAGAGATCTTTATTATGTTAGATTTGGCTTTCATTATGAATCATATACTCACAAGGAACAGAATAACAGTATCCCCTTCAGATATCCGTTCTTTATATTCCGCAAAACTCATGATTCATAAATTAATTCTCAAAGAGAAATCGAAAATCTAATTGCTCTCTCATGGGGAAACCCGCTGAATCTATGTTCCGTCTGTACATGGTAACGACTGCCTTGAATGCTGGGAATTTTAAACAGTTGCTAACCGCGAAAGGTATACAAATATGGCGGATTGTGGATGAAAAGTCAAACTTGACATTGACTTTCATCTAAAAAATGAATGATGAAATAATCGCTACTGAGGCGATGACTATGTGCAATGGAAATAAAGAGCTATGGTTGAAATTTTCCAAGAAGAACATGACAAACATATTGCGGAGAAATTATCAAAATGTCTGATCCAATTAGCGAGGTGGCCTTTTCGCAGCCAAAACTTCCAGCCATCGGAGATTCAAGGAGTTTGGTCTCACAACCCACCATTACCACTTCTTCAAGCTTGAGTGATGCTAGCGATCAAGGGAGGCTGAATACTTCTCGGCCTAAGAGTAGCGTCGATTTGGATAATGGCGATGTTCAAATTTTGCTGCAACAAGTTTCACGCAGTTTCGTGAACGCTTTGCAGCAAAACACGAAACAGTCCTGGTATCACCTCTGCGAAGTTCTGGATATTATCGAGCCATACTCGCACTTTTTGAGTGGAACTCCACAAATAAGGCATTACGTTGACCGTGTTTACGTTAAAATCAAAGCAAGCGGGGATGAAAATGATTGTGGATTTGTGGAAAAGAAACTGCTGGCTGTCTTTCCTGACGAGTTATCTGTCTCCCTCGGAGGTACTAGACAACAAGCTTTCTCATTTCCAACTGAACCTTCTGTGGACAGTCTATTTACCCCAAGGGGGCAACAGCCATCGTTATATAAGGGGGTAAAAGTCCCCCGTGGGGTGCCAATTTTTCCTGGGGGTACCACATACATTTTTGATCATTCAGATGGAGATGCAAAAAGTCATGGTCCGAAGCCATTGTGTATGGAAGATCTCAAAAGAGCTCTTCCAGGAGTAGTGCGAGAGATAGCTATCAGAGAAGCCACACTGGGAGGATCATTAGGAACAACTGCATTAGCATTGGATATTGATCTCCCACAAACACATGTTCCCACTCCTCCATCTATTCCAAGGGGGTCACCAAGTTCTCCTGTCATCAGGATACCATTGCCTGAATCAGGGAGGGTCACTCAACAGAGTGACGTTAAGAGAGGGATGTTGGGAAAGACTGGCAGAGAAGTTGTGGAAAATTTTGTCAAAGGACGATTCCTTGGTCAAGAAAATTTTGCCTTTTTGAATGTTGCACCTTCAGTGCGTTATGATCCATATAACCTGGTGGTTGTCCCTGAGGATAAAGTGAATCCTGAACATTATGTGATTTCATCACATTGTGTTTTGCATGTGAACCCTAATGGTCCATCAGAGACACAATCATTGGCAGAATGGTACAGAGAAGCATGCTTGTTTAAAGCAATTTCAAATATTGGTTTTTTCAAGAACTTTGTCGTCACCAAAATGTTCAGGAAATGGAAGGATATAAAGAAATTCAGTCAGTTTCTCAAAGTTGAAGCTGAGATTGAGAAGTCTCTCATTTCAAATGTCCCCAGTTTTGGATCAGCTTTAATAAGGATTTCAAGTCTCCTTCAGGACCTGGAAAAGGTCACTTTTTTACCATTTCAGATCAATTTCTCATATTCCCTGGAGGAATTTGAGGACACTATTTTCAAAACTTGTGGCACAGGTTACAAATACATGGAAAAGTTTTTCAGCTACTGCCAAATGATTGTAGATAAAACACAGGAGAGTTGTTTTGAATATCTAGAGTACTGTGAAGGGCAAGTAAAAAATCACCGCCATAACTATCAGGAATCACTAGCAGTTGCAAAAAAGAAGAGAGCAGTCAGACAACACAATTTGAAGCTTGCTCGAGATGAGGTTCAAAGGCTTGGAACCTTTGTACGTTTGGTGGACCACATTATTGTTTCGAATCTATTGAAATTAGTTCAAAGGAACATTTCTAGATTTGTGGATGAAGCAATGCCTGGCCCACGACCTGAAAGGGATGGGCTTTTTTCGGCTGAAATTGTGTTTGGGGATGACCACAAGCTTACTTTGTCGCCATCTGTAAAGCAGTTTTCTCATGCTGTGTCTGTTGCAGTGGGGAGTGTTATAAGTGCTTCCTGTAATCTCTCACATGCCATGGAGCTGGGAAGCAAAGCTAAACATTTCCAGGAGAAAGCAGAGAATGGAATGCATGAGCAAGTGGATTATAGTGAACCAAATGATTTTGATTTAAGTGACTCCATGAAACAAACAAAAGCTGGAGACAGACCAAGTGACATTGATAAGCTGATATATGGTACTGACAAACAATCTGAAACCTTAATGACTGGTGGACAACAACCCACGTCTACCAACACGGTAAGAAATGACTACCAGGGTACTTGTTAGTAACAATATTATTATAAATATTGTAGTCCGAGGTACATGAATATAATGAGAGAGTGTAGGTCAGAGTATTCTTGAAAGATGGAGAGGTGAGTTTCTAAAGAGACTGTGGTGCTGCATTGGAGTGGTGTGTTGCAAGATACATGTAATTTGGTTTTATTAACAAAGTTGGTTAACTGCATATTAGTCACTGTAAAGAGAAGGGCATTGGATTTTTGGTTTTGCAGTTTTGGCTATTTTTTAGAGTGGTTTTTAGGTTTCTGTGCCAAAAAACTTCAGTTTTTTCGGTTTTGGTGTTCATTGTGCTTTGCACTGGATTTTGGTTTTTTTTTTAATTAGCATTTGGTTTTGGGCTTTCGTAAAAACCATAATGGACTTTCAAATTTGGTATTCAATGTAGTTTTCTGTTTTTCCTATTTGGGTTCCAGTCTAGTAGCCATGAAAGCTCTATTTGCTCTACTTGTCACTGACAGTATAGGATTGATTAGAGTTTTGATAACTGGGATGTAAAAATTTATTGGTTTAGGCAGTTTTGCATGGGGTTTTTGGTTTTAATGGAAGTTCTTTGTGATTTTGTGGTATTGGATGATTTTTTTAAATGGTTTTTTAGTTTCTAATAGACCCTGATGCCCCCCTCTATAAGGAGTTTCTGAAGCTGACATTTTGAGTGTTAGCCCTTTGTCATCACTCTGATGAGGGGCTATTATACTCAAAATGTTAGTCTTGAAATTTTTTTTTGCAACCAAATATATTTCATCATCACTGTCAAGTAATGATGGCTTGTGCTTGGAGTTAGAGACACAAGTCACTGTAAATGACATTAATTATCTTTAGAACTACCTTCATCCAGGTGATTGCTGCACATGTACATGTACATGTTAGAAGTTGCTTGTGACTGTCAAGCTTAAGACTTTTTCAATATCTCCTAATTTCCTAATTAAAAATACACGTAATGCATGAACTGGGACAAGCAAGGAGTGCATGGGAATGGTGAAGTGGTGAGAACACTTGTCTCCCATTGCTGTGGTTCAGGTTCAATTCATGGACTTGTTGTCACATTTGGGTTGAGTTTGTTGTGGGTTCTTGTTCTTGCTCTGACCCTTTTTCTCCATATCCTTGGGTGTTGTTGCCTTCACAAAAATTGACATTCTACGTTCTACCTGGAAACAGTGGACAAGAAGAGCCACCTTGTGGAAGTCATCTGCTAAATTCTCATTATTATCCCATTAATTTAAGGTTATGTACTCTTTGGATGGGTTATTTCAAAGAACAAATCTACATGTTTGTCTTTTAGACAGCACATCTGCAAACCCTGCAAAGAGATGATCAAGGTGATGTCCCAGAAATTTTTGGAAGCCCAACCACAGTCACAAGGACAGATGATGAAATCTATGAAGACTTGGATGGTTTAAATTCTGAACTGTCAAGTGCAAGAGAGATGTCAAGACAGGCCACTCTTCAACTGTGCTTTCGGCAAAAGCCTGATGGAGGCCTTCTTGTGGAAGGGCAACGCTTCCAGGATTTTTTAATTGATAGGAGTCCTCTGACCAAGGAGAAACTAATGGAGATAATCCACAAGAAGTGAGTTGTGTTCTCATTGTTTCTTGAATAGAGATATATAATGTCAAGGAAGTACAAAGCAGTATATATATATAAATTAACTGAGGCTTCTCTGTTTTTTGTTCCATTTTCTTTAGTAAACAGATCACAGAGGCTTTTCAGCGACAAGCAGATCTGCTATCACAAGCCACTGAAGAAGTGGAGCAATTTTGTGATGATCACAGTTGGGTGGCTGTAATCCATGAGTTTGTTTCTTCTTGGGGAAGTGGTGACACACATAAGTTGAGAGGTCAACAGACCAGTAAGATTGAGGTATGGTATCATCATCATCATCATCTTTTTTATTTGCCTTATAACAAAAATTTATTTACAGCGGTTATAGCTAGAAGGCGAGGAAACCCGACAAGTAGGCAATTTTTACAACTTAAGTTTCTAAGTTCACCATAAGTATCTGCTAGGGAGCAAGAACTGTTACTTAACCCTTTAATCCCTAAGAGTGACAAGGTTCTAATTTCTCCTTATAAAATCTATCCCTTGAATCAAAAGTTTAAGTCACAAGAATAAAAAGGAAATGATCAGAGACTGACAAAGCTCTTGGTGGTTTTACAAATTCTCTTCGTTAGAATCTAGGAAATGTACAGAGAACAGTAAGGAGAATATGAATAATAATAATGTTGGGGTGTAAAGGGTTTGGAGAAAAAGAATAGCTTGATGCAAATTTGAGGGTAGGGATGCTATATTCCATGTCACTGTGCATCACTTCAGTGATAGATTGCAGATGATGTCAAGAAGTGGGGCAGCCAAGTATGTTACTGATGTTTGAACCACATTTTGATTTCTTTTGTGATCTATTAATGCACAGACCCATGGCGACATGGAATCTATTTTTTATGAAGTAAAGAAGGACAAGACTGTTCATTATGGCATCATCAATGCATCTGTCTTCCATAGCCCACATTGAATTTAAATAATCTTCGAAATGTGCATGTAATGGATTTATTATATAATTGGTGATATGATACAGCTCAGATACAAGAATATTTCCACCTGCACTATTTTCATTATTTTTAAGAATGGCAGATAACTAAATGGGAGATGAAACCAATTTTTTTTTTGACAAGTTTTGAGTTGCATGTACAGTAAATGTACATGATAATGTTGGATGGGTACACAAGTGCACCACAAACATTTAGTCATCTTGAATTCCTCATTGGCCAGATGCCCATATTCAACTAAAAGGTACATGATTCATTTGATTCACTTTGAAAGGGAAGAAGGAGTTATGCTGGTGCAAGTGGACAGGTCTCCCATCATTGCAGCCTTCTTATGATTTCTCTCTTTTCTCTGTTTTCTTCCCTTCCCAAATTTATCCTTCCAAGCTCCAACATCATTGAATAAAGTACCACTTTGTGGACTTGCCATCACTAAAAAAAGCTGATCATTTATTTATTTATTTGATATTTATTTCATAGCAACAACTGAACCAGATCAAGACATGGAAAGAACAAGTGTTCAGCATGGCCAAGAGTTTTTGCACTCAGGATGGAATATTCTTTGTGGACTGCCATAAAGTACAGGAAGTGCTTCTTCCACAATTGAACACCATCTTTAAGGAGATGATGCAGTTGATCATTACAGATGTCATTACATTTTCTGATGAGGTGATCAAGGATGTTGACAAGCTATCTGAGGTATGTGTGCTTATGAAGCTATGTCGTTTTATAATGTTATTGTTAATATTCAGCAGTAAATTTACTCTTCTTTGACATACTTTCAATAAAGTTGATATTTATGGCCTTGGTGGATACTGTTCAACCATAATGTCTAGTCCTGAGATGTGACCATGATTCCATTGTACATGTGCATCTAACTGTGTAGTCAGATAATAAAGATACTCATTCACTATCCACAACTTAACCATCTACTTATCTACAACTTATCTACCTACTGTACTTCGAAACGTGAAGCAAACTGTTTATAAATTAACAATTAACAGGCACTTTATTCTTTGAAGAAGAGAGGCTATTACTAACAGTTACTTTTGTTGATATTTTAATGAAACTCAAGATGTCAAAATAATAAAAATTTTTTTTGTTTTACTGTTATTGACATTGATTTCATGTTTGTATGACCTTAGCTTTTGAAAGATCAGAAGACAGACATCAAGGGATTTTCAGATTTCATCCAAAAGCTTTCAACTGTCAAAAAGCATGTGCTTAGTTTGAAGGAGAAGGTGGAGTGCATCAAAAATCTTTATGAGGTGAGGTGAAGATTTCGTAGATTTGTAGTTGTGGCACAGAAGATATTAAGAGGGTCAGGGGGCTATTAATTTGATATATCAATTGTGAAAGACATTCTTGTGGTATTTTGCACTTTGCTGCAGGTGATCAGGAGTTGTTACAGGCAACTGACCCCTGAAGAGGAAATGATGGAAGAAAAGGTATTTGACTATTCTGCCCAGTTTTCATTGTCTAGCATTATTCTTACCTTAGGATACAAAATAAACTTCTTACATGTATTTGCTTGCCTTTATGCAATCATTTAATACATGTATGTACATGTATTGAGGAAACAAAAAATGTTCTATTTGATGTTCTGTTCTAATGATGTGGTTAACTCCTTTCCACTAACTGGAGATGCTGTGAGCACAAGGAAAAACAATTTGTGTGAAGTCCAATGTAGTTGAAGATAGACCAGTTGTAAGTACAGTAGGGGAGACTCAGTTGAATTTTGAGCAGCTGAGAAACAAATTCAATCTGAAGGCAGCTAGATCAGAAAATTTTATTCAGGGGTCTCCTAAAATCAAATCCAGAGCCTTTAGCTATTGGATATTCATGTACCACCTGCTTGATGTACATATTAGGAATCCTGTGACTTGCTTTCCTGGAGGTCGTGTGCAGTACCAGCTTTTTTTTTTACCATAGAATCTGTGATAAAATGCTGTGATGAAATGCTGTTGGAACTATAGATGCTAAGTAGCAAAAACTTATGTTTGCTGCTAGCCCAGTAATTTATGCATTCAGGGTTGTTAGTTTAGCTTTTTAAACTTGTGACTGCTCCCTGTATGTTTGAGTGACTGTTGAATTAGTAATTATTATTATAATTTAAACTTATTGTCACAGAATCTGTACCCAAATTACATGATTCTTTTATCATTCATTTTCTAGGTCTGGGCCACTTGGGAAAGTTTCTTGTTTGGTCTGCAAGAAGCATCAGACTTTGTCGAGGTCCACAAACCACAAGTCTCAGCAAAGCTGATAGAAATAATCCGTGTGAGTAAATTTTTAAGAACTGTTTATGGAAATTAAAAGTAAGGGATTTGTGTTGAAGTCCACTTTTACTTCCTCAACATAGAGTGATATTTTAAAATAAAATGATCTTGTTGAGGTTGGTGTTATTTGTTGATGTGCTAATCAAAGCCAAATTGAAGGGTTTTCAAGGCTACACCCAATGATGTGGACTTAGTTGTTGACAAAAAGAGAGCTACAATCTACAAAAAAAAATTGGTTGATGCAATATTTACACAGCCACTTTAAGGGCTGTTTTTAAAAAAATTTCAAAAGTGCACAGTCTTTCACTTCCCATATGCCATGTTTAACAATCACAGAAAACAAAGTGCATCATTGTACACAGGGGAAGAGGACATGAAAGGTATGGTTTCCCTTCAGATCATTGACACTGAGCTTCAGTCTGCTGATCTGAAATAAACCTTTTTTTGTCTTCAGGCACTACAATGTACTGCTGAAGAAATTGGCCAGACTGCTACTACAGGGAAATTTCTTGATCCAAATGAGAAGCCATCTTCTATCTTGCAGGACATGAGGGAGGTAAGATTTTTGTGCACATTAATGTTCATGAATGTACTGGAAAGATTTAGGCAGTTAAGTACTACTGACAAGAAGTAAATATCTGCCTTGAAGAATGTACAGTGTAGTCAGTTACCTGTACATTAGTTGGTATTCATTATGTGTAGTAGTGCAGTTCTCAAATTTTTTTTTTTTCATTTATTTGGTAGCTGAAAGAGAAATTTGTTGGAATTCGTGACAAGCTATCAGAACTGAGCAAGTGCCAAGCTATTATGCTTGGGAGTGAATATGACTTGGGACACATCACTGGCATCCTCCTTGCCTTGGAGAAAAGGCAAGAGCTATGGAAGTATTGTGATTCATCATCCTATACCATTCGGGAGTGGATGCAGACAGTTTTCAAGAAGGTATAGATTACTACATGTATGTCACTAGCAATGTCATAAGCAAATGTAATTATTGTCACAACTGTGTAGTTTCAGTCCAAATTTTAAAGGTATTCTGTGAAGAACAATGCCTGTTCTGGTGGCCCTCATTGATAAAGAAGAGATATGCCACCAGAACATTCAACACAACAATTAACTTCCTGAGCAATTTTGTGTATTAGGAAATACTCTATGGAGTGCCTTTGTATTACTGGAAAGGAGGAAAGGGAGGATATTGAGAGTGGTGTTGCATTTGTTTTCAAGTGAATCTATGTATAAATATGTGTGCAATGTGTCAGACCCATTTAACCCTTTTCAACCAAACATCTGTTTAGTAATGCTAACTATTGTCTGTTATACAACTCTTATGAGGTTAGTTTGGAGAATTTGGTACCAATAGAATTTTTCTCCTTAGCCTCATTGCTGGTCTGCTTGTCATTGTATTGATTTTGTAAGGAGAAATTCTGTCTTGCTCACTCCTAGGATTTAAAGGGTTACTTACAGTGTAGGTTGATCTCTCTAGGAAGAATCCACTGTCAGACAATATCAAATGTTAGAGTGCCTTTCATCAAATAGAACATGCTCTTTCTAATGATGGAGAACAGTTTACTCTTGCTAATATTACATGCAACTATTGGGTAACAATGACAATTTTAAGCATAAGGACCTTCCTGTATATCACTCAAGCCCCTGGATTTCATGGAAATGATCATCTTTGGTACCATACATAAGAGTTACTGTGTTCTCAAAATAATGGAGCCCAAAAATAATTTCCCATCAACATACTTGTATTCAGTCTTATTGCTCAAAATTCAGGTGTTTTCATGCTATCAATTTTTAGAAGTAGAGAAATTCTACTCGTATGAAGATCAGTTGTTTATCTTGTATGTAACTGAAGGTGGTGGCCCACGTGTCCAGTAATCATCATGGCTTGTTGTAAAAGTGTACAAGCTCCATTCCAATGTACTTTTAACACTAATTGAACATCCTGTTTATTTTTTTTTTTTCTGTAATCATCAAAGATATTAAAAAATTTTCCTCACGGATTCTCAGGGAACCAAAAACATAGTTTCAGATGGGTTCACATGGTCACAGGGTGTGGAACCGAAAATTGTTTGCTCTAGGATTTGAAATCCTGGGGCTTGATCACTCTTAGTCATCTACAATAATTCTGTAATAGTTTTGTTACAGTCTAATTATGCTAAAGGTTATGTGAATGAGAGTTTCATTTTGTCATGGGTATGTCCTCAGTTTAATTTCAATTTCCTGTTTTTTTCAAGGGATCCTGAGATGTGATCTTAAATTTTTCATGTGTGTATACTTACATTTTACCTGTGCATAGCCAATTTAAATAACATTGAACTTTTATCAATTTTATTTTAATGCTGACTATTTTTAGATGAATGTTAAGAAGGCAATGGACAAACTCTCAGAATGGGCCAATGCTGGAGAGAAACTGAGAAGTTATCTTCCTGAGAATGATGAAGTTCTGGTTTCCTGGCTGTCTCAGTTGGAAGAGTTTTCTCAAGACTTGCCTTTCCTACTTCAACTCTCTAGCGATGCTCTCAAGGTACAAAGCACAAGTCTACTATTGAGACATATTGCAGTAGCACACTGTATGGGTACAGTCTGTTCTAAGTCAGTATACCAGCTTTCTCAAGTCAGTCTTAATAATCATTAGTGCTGTTAGTTAGGCAGTCCCAGTCAGTTAAGCCTGGTTCATAAGACAATGATGTTCAGCAATGTTATTGTTGACATCACCTCTCTTGTCACTCAATTGTGTTCAGTCAGTCTTATGATTTCAATTGAATTCCTCAAGAACAGCAGATCTTAGGTAATAATAAAAGAAACACTTACTTACCAGTCCAAGAACCACCCACAGATTAAAAAATTGTTTGCAAATTGCAAGTAACCATAAACATGATATTTATCAGGATGATTTAAAGAGGTTGGTAATCATGCCTGATTAGGCTTTGTGTTTGAAAGCTGCTGGCTTTTCATGGGACAAAACAAGACTAGATTTACTTGATTTAGCTTCGCAATCCAACTCTTTCAGAAATCTGGATTGTAGGAAGAAAAAAAATTGAAATGTACATTGTATCTTTACGTTTTGACTTCATCCTTTAACAGCCTCGACACTGGAGAGCTTTGTTCATAGGAATGGGCCAAGATTATGATCCTTCCTGGGAATTCACAGTGGCAAACCTTCTTTCTTTCAATCTTGGCCGCTATAAAGATTTAATAACAACAGTCTGTGCAGGGGCTGCAGCAGAATATGCACTAGAACTTCAACTTTATCACCTGGCTCGTGCCTGGGAGGAGAAAGACTTCAAGCTCGCAAAGCATATTCCACTGTTGAGACCACGACTGGGAGGTTGGCAGAAAGGTGGTGCTAAAGGGAAAAGGAACACTAGGCAAACTGGAGCTGAGGTAAATGGAGATGCTTTATTGACATTTATTTTCTGATGCCTTTTTTTGAGCATGATTAATGAGAAAATGATGAGTGGTTATTCTGTTGTAGTCCTCCTTGAGCCAGCCTTGGCCAGTCATTTTTTGTTACCACCTTTTATCCCCCAGATAAAGTAACTTGCTGGTAATGATTATCCAATATTAGAGCATCTTTTGTGTTGATTTCTTCTTCATTTTCAATAAAAAACGTGATAGATGGTTGCTTATTTGGAGGTTGAATTTGAACATTTAGTATTTTTCTGTCTTAAGCAGAAGGCAAACGTGAAGGTGAAACCCAAGACACCAGCCTCTGTACCAGATATGTATATCCTCATCGGGATTGGTGAATTGAAGTGCATCATCGAGGTAGATAGACATGTTAAAACCTATTAAGCATATTGGAAGTGACTTTGAAGTAAATGGCAATGGACTTCCCTATGGTGCTTCAATTCTTGTCGACTGTTTCCTGATCAAATTGGAATTTGGTGTGTTGAATTTTTAGAGGGAAGAAAACTAGAGAGAAAATCCCTTGGAGAATGGTGAAGAGTCAATAGCAGACTCAAGTTGAAGACCCACATGTGGTGAAAGGTTTTGGAATAACACTAGGGTCACAGGAGGAGAGCCCCTCTCAATTACACCATTCCTGTGTCCCTTTATGTCAGTTTACCCATTATTTATATAAGTATTTCATAAAAAATGAAGGTAGCGCATTGTAGTCAGACAATAGATGGAAAATGAAGGAAAATTTTCAGTTACCATTGGATCACTGTGAAAACTTTATTGTTACTTACAAACTGACAGAAACTGGGATCTACTTACAACAACTTACAGAAGATATTGTCAGCATGATATGCGAGGAATTAGCTGCCCTGTCATTGAATGCTTTATGCAAACGCTATCTTGTCTTCATTTTTTCATTTTAGGATAATCTCGTCACTTTGCACATCATGCTGACATCTCCTCATGTTGCTGACTTGAAATCAATGGTAGAAACATGGATCACAAACTTGCAGGAAATTGAGAGCATTACAGACATTTGGGCAGACTGCCAAAAGAAGGTTTGTACATGTAGTATCTAAATTTTAAATTTTGATGTGGCATGCATTCCCAAGGGGAGTCGTCAATTAACCCGATGCCCTAAATTTCAAATTTGTAAATTTTACTCTTTTTTTGGTGTATCTTTTTGGAGGAGGGGGCAAAGTGGGTACTTCCTCACCTTTATGGATAGTATGATAATATCGTGATAATATGTGAGGTTATTGATCCTGTTTTGGTCTCGTAGCTGGTATCAATTTAATCATCTGGGTCTAAAATTAGACACGTGTGGGACCCTCTTTATATCCGGGGTCTTGACTTAATTGTAATGCAGTTGTTTTTGTCGGATCTGAAGCTACGTATGAAAATAACTTAATGTGGTCTGAGATAGGATGAGAGTGTTTCAAGAAGCATATCACACAGTATCAGCTATTCCCAATGCATGCACATGCACACACATATCAGACTACAGATGTAGATGTAACCCTTATATGATGCCTGGTGTCTTACATTTCAGTGGCTTTACCTCAGCAATGTTTTTGCGGAGCCAGAATTAAGAAAGTCTTTGGAGAACAGCAGCCAAAGTTACCTTAAAGTTGATGAAAATTACAGAGTAAGTTCATTCTTAAAACTCTTTGAACCTGGTATTGATGAAGTGCATTTGATTTAGTATAGTAAAACCATAACTGAAGTGATCAAAATGGCTAATCAGGTAAAAAAAAAAAAGGAAAACAGTAAAGGAATTCGATGAGATTTCTCAGTTAAAAAAAAAAGCCTCACCCAAAGCATTGAAAACGAGGACCGGTTGAAGTTTTGCATCAGATTGGTTGAAATGATGGCGGGAGTTTTCTGGCCAGGCAATGAGCAACAAAAGACGAACCGTAGGAAATTCAGGATCACTTTTGATATTTGATTTAAAATAGCTTAGTATACAACCTTAATTTCTCTATTGTATCTACTACAAACTATGACACAATGATTTTATTGATTTTAGAAATACTTTTAAAACGATTGGATTTTTTTACATGACTCAATTGCTTGCAGTACTTCAAACGTTTTTGATCATTTGTTTGTTTAAAATTATTTTATGTGGCTTCACTCTTTTATCTTTATCCAAGGAATTTGTTCAAGTAATCTTGAGGGATCCCAAAGTCCTATCGGTGTTGCCTTTGAAGAAACGAGGGGAGAAGGGCTGGAGAGATCTGCAGGGGGATACCCTGAGGGAACAGCTGCTAGAACTGACCAGAAAAGAGGTGATTTGTGTTCATTTTTAATTGCACAATTTTATTCATTATCTAATATCTTCATCATCCGACATCTATCTTTTCTGTGGATCGCTGATGGATTGTTAGCTGTAGGATCTGCAGATCTGGAAGCTTGGCGTCAAGATAAGAGCTTTGGATGTCTCAGGCCCAGTTCAAACGTCGAACTTCACATGAGACAGACTTGACTGAAAGAATTAAGTTCTTGTTAAGTTCCACGTTTGAATCAGACGAGTTTGTCCAACTGAATTTGGACCGACCTTGACATTTTGTCCGTGTGAAGGTAGACTATGGGGAAAATGTCGATCTTTTCATGAATCGAGCTTGATGAATAATTTACAAATTGCCTCGGTTGAAGTCCTGCTGAACGATAGATTCGTTTCGCTGCTCTAAATTTGGTTCGACTAATAGTGATCAACTAATTTTGTTGTGTTAATTGTGTTCGAAGAATTGTGTTTGACGAATTATGTTCGACGTTTTAATCACGCCTCAGGAGTCTCGGTGATGTGTCTTCACCTTTCCTTCCTTTCTAGCTGTCTTTATCATGCATTTGCAGACTATGCTTCGTGTATACTTAAGTAATTCCTTTTTCCTTGGTTCTCTTTAGGAGGAATTGATAAAAATGGTGGCTGAATACATAGACAAAGCCCGAGTCATATTTCCACGGCTCTACTTCCTCAGCGACAACGACCTACTCGGTCTGTTAGCTTGGTCCCGTAATCCAAAAGACTTGCTACCATTTGTAAGAAAGTGTTTTCCTGGCATAAAGAACCTTCAGTTTGCTTTGCCAAGAGATGGTAATTTAAGGCTAGCCAGCACTTTGGACACAGCACTGAATGGTAATTATTGATTTGTGGTCTAAAAAGAAAATTAATGAATCTTAGAAATAGATTGCTCTTGGTTCCTTTCCTTAGTTCTTTGGTTGATCACGCAGGGAAGAATGATTCATAATGTCGGGCACACTCGGGATCATCAAAGTCTTAACAAGGTCTTTCTATTGTGCTTTCCTTCTTTCAGCCCATCTTTTGCAAGTCACTGCCATGGAGGGTGTGTTGGAAGAAGTAGTTCCTCTTCTATCAGTCATTCCCGCTTCGCCACGTCCACAAAGTTGGCTCGTCACACTCGAGGAGAAGATGAGGAACACATTAGTCAAGAGTCTTGCTGAATGTGTGGACAGAAGGCTCAGGGGAAGACTGAGTCCCAGCAAACTTTTGGAATCAATAACTTCATTTGGTAAGGCTGTTGTGTTTCAACAATTCATTCTAGGGCAAGCTCGGAGCTTTGAATGCATGCAGATGGTTAAAAACGTCTGAAATGACGCGTGAAAAGGTACCTTGCATGAAAATAGGGGGTTTCACTCTAAAGAAAAATATAATGTCGCGATGCTCTCGTAAGTAAGACCTCAGCCTTACCATGGTTAAATCATTCATACCTTTCTTTTCTTAGAAAGAAAGAAAGGAATTCCAAGTAAGGTTGGAAAGTTTTAACACACGGTAGCTCGAGGTTGATAAAGGAATTCTTGGGGATAAATTCTTGCTGAGAAAAAAAGAATAGACTCGTAACTGAACTATGGATTAACTTGCGTGCATCGCTGTGCCTAAGGAGGCGATAATTCTAACATCTGTTCTTCTGTTATGTAGGGGAAAAAGTTTTTCTTCAAAGTTCTAACACTGCGAGTGATTCCAAGCAGACTTCGAAAGAAGAGCAGCGTGATAGCTCGCAAGCAGACCACGTTTACTTGAAATTTCCAAGTCAGTGTGTTGTAACAGCAGAGGCAGTTCTTTGGAACAAGGAAATGACTGAGGTGTTACAAAATAAAAGTCTGCGGGGGCTGTCTAACCTCAGGTGTGTTTGTTATCTTAAAATGTCTTTTAGATGACTTAATGTTATAGATTACATATCATGGATTCTAAGTTATTAATTCAAACTTGAAACAGGACACTACATCAAGGAGAATTCTACATGGACGCATAGCGAACCATTACATGTTAGAATAACTATACTTGGTTTCTATCAAAATGCGGTAATCTTATTGGCTACCTTACACCATATTTATTAAAAGATAGAGGGTGAGTAAAAGAAGCCTAACACTGTGCGGTTTTAAATCAAATGAGTGTCTTACCGTCAAGGTTTGATCGATTAGTTCATGTACATTTGAACTAAACGATTAGACTAGTCCATCTCGATTTCTATGCGTGGTAGTTGTTGAGGACTGGATATATCGAGATCATTATCTAAGTCTTAAGTGTTATGGAACTGGCAGTCTATGCTTTGGCTTAAAATAGTTTCCTTTGTCTTGTTTAGGAAATCACTTGTCAGTTATGTGGATGAACTTTCACAGACTATCAGGAAGAACTTGGAGAATGAATGCCGTGTCTCAGCTCATAGTCGTCTTGAGTTGCTTTTATCTGCTTTAGTCGGCCTGGTGATAAATCAGAGAGACATTGTGACAGGTCAGTACTGTACTTATGTTGCCTACATGCATTTTTCTCATGTTTCCTTCTATGTCAACCAATCCCGCTGCCAAGTTGTTGCCGACTTTTATGGAACGTCTTGCACAAAGCACTCAGCTGGGTTGTTGCTAGACTGACTTAACATGCATTAACTTATCCAAGTGCAATTTTCCATGAATGCCAAAAACGATCCGTAATTGCATTAATTTTGCACAACTTTCGCTCCACGTCACCTCGACTAATCAGGTGCAAAACTTGATCATTACTTTTCCTTTTCTGCTTGCGTTTTCCATACGTGAGGCTGGTTTATCCTAGCGATGTAACTATTAATTACATGTGGCAGAATTCGTCAACAATGGGGTCTTGGATGTAAACAGCTTTGAATGGAGTAGCCAGCTTCAACACCATATAGAGCTGAACAAGATAATTACATCACGTTACCAAGGAGAAGACAACGGAGAGAATCAGATCTTAGCTGGGTCTTCTACCATTCCTGTAGAGCATTTATATGAGATTGGCTTGTGCAGCTTACATCAGCTTGGCACCAACTTTGCGTATGGCTATGAGTACCTTGGGCCCACGCCTAGGCTCGTAGTCACACCACTGACGCAGAGATGCTTCCTCACTCTGACCATGGCGCTACGGTCCCATCAGTGTGGTGTTCCTGTGGGACCCGATGGTATTGGGAAGACTGAGACTATTAAAGACTTGGCTAAGGTACAGCGTGATGGAAATAGATTTTTGTTCTCTTTCTAGGTCGAATATGCTCCGCGAAAGACTTTAAAAGCTTTAGTATGGCTCTGTGAGGTTTCCATTAGAGTGTCTTTCACCAGATTTTGCATTAGTAGAAGAAAACTTAGTTGCATCCCACTTTTTAAGTTATAATTTCCCTTGTTTAGGTAATTTTTCGCAGCTCTGATATACAGATGGTAGGTGAGTTTTGCACGGTAAAAATGAGAAACCCTGATACATACTAATGCATCTCATGCGGAGTCATGGGGGGCCTTATTCAATCACTAAGTTCTTAGAAATGAGGGCGTTACATTATTTTGAAGGAAGACCCCAGGATCTGTTTCGAAATTGCAAAGCACATTAAATTCTATAATGAAGTGGCGTCAAATAATTAGCTTGTAAACACTCTTCTCACATTTGATTTACGCTTTTAGTTTATCTTTACGTAACCTTCATTTTACTTTCAGGCTCTTGGAAGACATTTGGTCGTTTTTAACTGCTCAGAACAGCCGACTACCTCGATGTTTGTCCGTTATTTATTTGGTATGATCCGGTCAGGCAGCTGGGCCTGTTTTGAAAATGTCGATTGTGTCGAGCCTGGCATTTTGTCCTTCCTCGGTGAGCATCTGGCGAGCATCAGAACATCCATGAAGGCCTTGGAGAGGATTGTTGTTTCTCAGTACACTGCTAGAGGAATCTCCAAGACAGACAATCTAGAGGTGGGTGCTTTTTGTTATACTTGATTCTTTGTGTCATTTCAAAGCCAAGAAACTGTGGCAGATTGTGGCCTAAAAGCCAGTTTCAGCTTCCCCGGTCCCATCTGTGGACACAAAAATGAGGCAGTATTTGTTCACTTCCTTGTGCTATTGCGACTATTCTCACGTTAATTTACTGTAGTCAATTGATTACAGCGAATGTGAATGCGAGTTACCTATGATAGAACAACACATGAACATAAAGTCATGATCAGCCACGGCTTGAACTTTCTTGAGGGGTGAGACTCGAGTTAAAAAAATAACTATCACCTCTAGCCAAACGACTCAATTCATGGTTGCTTTTGCAAATTTTGGTCGCTCATGTTTTGTATAAGTTAAAATAGGTCAAGAGGATTTTACTTTAAAACGTCAACCATCTATAAGGTGGGGTGGCCAGAAGGGATTTAAAGAGCGAGAAATTTTTCCAACTTCATACAGAAACTGTAAGAGTAACCTTAAATATAATTTGAACCCATTACGCTTATTACGCATTATTTTTGCCTTTTTAGAGCGAAACAGTCAAAAGAAGAAACAGTGTTACGACATTAGGTTCACTCCCACAAGAAGCCTTTTCATCATGTTACAGATCGGAGTCTAAATCGGTAAGGTTTCCTTTCATCATTGTTTGTAAGAGGTTTGATCTCCTTACGTGGGATTGGCCAAGAAAAACACATAGATCACAAATGTAAAGATTGATTTTTGTCAAAACATCAAGGTAATTATTGTTGTGAGAATAGTGCATTACAGGTGACTTAGTTTTTTATCTTCAATGAAATCACGGTAGTCCTGCTATTGAAGACATGGGTTGTGGAGCGGTGGTGCTTTTTTGTTGAATTTCCCAGTTTTTTGTTTTCAGGGAAGCCACGTCGCGAAACGAAAGAGGCACTTGTCAATCTCTAAGATATGTGATCTCGAAGAAGGAGATTACTTTGAGAATGAAACACCGCAACCATTATCCCCGTTAGAGCAACAACCTAAGTTTCCCCCGACGTTCCATAACAAGATGGCGAAAGTGTACAAGAAACAAACCAGCCTCAGAGAGTTTGAAATGCCTCTACTGGGAAACATCGTGTTCGAAGGGCAGCTCATGGCAGCCAGTGCAATGTATGGTTGTTTCATGACCATGTCTGGTAAAAACTGTTTCAACGCTGATCTTCCAGAAAACTTCAGGGTGAGTTTCTACCATCTTTCATTGTGATATAAAGTTGATTTTTTAAAAAAAAAAAGGATTAAATATCGGGTTTGGTTGTTTTTGGGTCAGAAATGGGATATTTATTTTGTTGCTTGAAAATATGTTATTTTTTGTTGCTACTGTTAACAGGCTCAACTCAGGCCCGTATCGATGGTCTTTCCGGACTACCTTCCTGTGGTGGAAATATGGTTGGTGTGCTGTGGTTTTACTGAAGCCAAGTCTCTTGCTATGAAGATCAACACATTCTTTAAATTAATCAATGAACAGGTAACTGCATTCTTTTTCGTTTGAGATTCTTCAGTTTATGTTTATTTTGAGAATTATATTATAACGGATCTCCTGTGCAATGTAGTTGGTTAGACTATGATCTTTATTTACCTATGAAACTTGGTAAAAATTATGGCTCAACTATGTTGTAGAAATCCATTTTTTAAAACCACGATAAACAAACACAGGAGAACTTTGGTGAGAAATGTTTCCTTTACTGCACTGTGGGCTGAGATTAATCCGCACTTTAAAGGAATTTTAGAGAAATTTTGCCGTAAAACCGACTTAATTTTTGTTTGCACCCGAGTAAAAAACCGTTGACAGCTCGAAAGGGATAATCAGAAACGATGTGACCCAACGGCTTATTGGGCAGTGTTATTAACTTTGCACACATCGATTTACTCCCAATTTACTAACTGCTCTTAGCAGATCTTTTTCTTTATGATAATTCTCTTCTATTTGTTAAGTTTGAACAGCTTCCTTAATTCACCACTTGCAATAAATCGTGTGTATCATGGACATGTTAAATCATAGAGCCGTTGGTTGGCATCTTTGGTAGTTGATGCTTTGTAATCTGTAATGTTTTTGGAATTGATGGTATTCGGATGTATTGACTCGGGTCAATTTTTGTACAAAGGTGTCTTCCCAACCTCAGTACTCATTTGGATTGCGCAGCATGAAAATGGTGACTACCTTAGCTGCAACAGAGCTTCAGAAAGAAATGACCAGAAAGAGGCGACCTACAATAAGTTCTATTACTGAGGAATCGCCGAGTGAAAATGGTTAGATCGGTTTTCTTGTTCGATTTCACGATATTCATAGTAATTGCGGTTTTAGTGTGAGGTAGATAATGCAAAAATCTCAGTTTGACAGATAGACGGGTACAACTACAGCTTTGTAGACAAACAAACAGGACGACAAGCAAACCGCACTAACATATACGTGGTAACAAACAGAACAAAGCAAACAACTGTTAAAGAAAGTTTGGTCCTTCGCCTTTTCAATGTCCTCTAAGAAGAGCTTGTATAATTTGTCGAGGAAAGACTGACGCTCTGGTTGTGGAATTAAGTAATCCATGATCACGATCTTGCCTGATGGCAGTAATAGTATTGATATACAAGTCCTGTGACTGTATTGGCAGCTGTTGTTGACAGGCACAAATTTAAATTGGTTTCGCGTGTGACTTTTGCAGCAGAGAGGAAGACGAGAAGTCCTTTTCTTGAGACCTTGGAAAGACGTCAAGCTGAGGAGAATGCTATAGTACATGCTTTGTTTTCGTACTTTGGAAAGAAGCTGTTGGGGAAGGACAAAGATCTGTTTTCGCGTGGAGTTGACGAAGTCTTCGCACACAGTGTCTTGATGTCGGTATCTACTGAAGGTGATTCAAAGCTAGTTGAAGAAGTAAAAGACCATCTTCAAACAAACGGACTGCAAGTCAAACAGGAATTGGTATCAAAGGTAATTATTAGTATCATCTTTTTTTTTTTTTAATATTTGAAGATGGAGTTGAGGGTCGGAAGCGTAAAAATCATCTTATGGCCCGAATGGCCCTCCGCGTGCTTTCAGTGCAAAACAGTTAACAAAATCCCAGTATGTGAGGGCACTAGGCGAAAGCGTAACCAGCAGGGCCGAAAAAAGCCGTACGGCTCCTCGAGATGCGAACTCTAAGAGGAAGGGAAGAAAGAGAAAGAAAAAAAGTATTTGGTTTTTGGTCCGTACTTTTTGAACGCTGGCCAAATAAATTCTGGTTTGGCCCTCCCACTAAATCAATGTGATTTTTATCTCAACAGATTATTCAGCTTCATACAACCCTTCAAACAAGCCGTAATGTGATCCTTTTGGGGTGCCCAGGTTCCGGTAAATCAACGATATATACCACCTTGGCAAGTGCTCTTAACAGTATGAACGGTCAAACAACTCAGCCTGTTGTGAAGCACCGCAGACAAGCAGGCTCAGAGAGAAGGGTGAGCACTTCCTTCAGACCCGCGGCAAAGGTCCCAGTTGAGGAAATCAAAGATGTCCAGTGGCCAAGGGTTGATCTCTCCATCGTTTTCCCAAAATCACTGACCTGCGAAGAGGCAAGTGTTCCTGTCTGTCTAACTAAGAAATTATGTCTTACGTTTATTTGAAGAAATCCGACCTCTAGTGAGAACTTCAGCATTCATCCCATTCAACGTCTATTTCTTCGATACTCGTACCCCTATGTGTTACTTAAGCAATAAAACACACTTTCTGTCGGTTTACCGGCGAATAAACCACGCAGTATGTTGAGAGAACACGAAAAACTTTTGTTAACTACCAGGCGTAGCCGAGTGGTTTCCAGTCTTTTTCAAACTTTAACAGCGCAGCGGAAAATAAAGGCTTAAAACGGAGCAACCAGTTAGTAAAACTGCATTTAAAATAAAGGAGTTGATCAGGTAAGAAAAATAAAATTTTTGTCGTTGTTTGTGGTTTTCAAAGTGTCCTCTTCGTTTTCTCAAACTAAAGGCCTTTAAAAA